ACACACACACACACACACACACACACACACACACACACACACACACAGTGGTTTTAGCAAACTAAGGGTGGTCCAACAGAAAGTTTCTCGCTTTTAAGACTGTGCTGCCACCCTGTGGCCATTCTTCTTATGACCCCAAGCTAGAAGATGCATCCTCAGCTATTTATCTCCCTTTCCTCTCAACCCTAACACTTATCTCATCTTTCCCACCTAATTCTGTAGTGAAATTCATGAAGCCTACTGAACTCTCTGCTCTTCTTTATTTCATGCTTGCTTTTTTTCTTCAGTTTCTTTTTTGAAGTAGTTTGTTACTGCTACATGAATGTGGACATCATTATTCAGTGCCAACCAAACTGCAATGAAAGCAATGAATTATATAATTAATTGTGCACAGTACATACAAATAAAAGTGAAATATTTTAGCAATAACATAGAAATTATTTTACTTTTTTCCACCCAAAGTGAAAGTCACCTTATATAAAGCAACTAGCAACACACAAGCCATCTTGGATATATCTCAAATTGGGATGCCAGAACATAGATTAGAAACAAATTTTAGTTTACAACTAAACTAAGTAAAGGTCTTTTAGAAACATATATCAGTGTAGAAGAATTTGGCCTTTATAAGCTTCTTCATTATAATTTCATATACTTTTATATAGATAATATATATCATAACTCATCTGACTAAAGATGAAACATGGCAAGTTAACAAAGGAAGACAGAAGAAAGAAGTCTGTTTGGGAATCTAGATGTTTCTTCAACCCTTCTCCCTTCCTGTAAATGTCAACTCAGCAATAATAATTGTGAGCAGGAAGCCCATGATCAAGGTCCTTTGTTTCTCTGTGATTAAATTCAGCTTTAAAAGTCATTCTGTGCAACCTAAAGGAAGCTTTGCAAAGTCAGTCTCCTTTAGAGTTTTCAAAACTAACAGATGTAAAAAAAAAAACAAAAAAAACAGTAGCTTAAAAAATGGTGGCTCATGCAAAAGAATGAAATTGGATTAAAGACTTACACGTAAAAGCTTAAACTGTAAAACTACTAGAAGAAAAAATAGGGGTAAAGCTTCTTGACATTGATCTTGGTGATGATTTTTTTGAATATGACACCAAAAGTGCAGGCATCAAAAGTAAAAATAGACAAGTGGGACTGCATCAAACTAAAAAGCTGCTGCACAACAAAAGAAACTTAGAGTAAAATGGCATCCTACAGAATGGCAAGCAATATTTGCAAACAACATACTCGATATGGGGTTAATGTCCAAAATGTATAAGGAACTCATACAACTCAACAACAAAAACAAAACAATCTGACTTAAAAAAGGGCAAAGGACCTGAACAGACATTTCTCACAAGACAAACAAATGACCAACAGGTATATGAAAAGGTGCTCAAACATTACTAATCATCATGGAGATGCAAATCAAAACCACAACGAGATATCACCTCGCACCTGTTAGGATGGCTATTATCAAAATGACAAAAGATAACAAGTGTTGGCGAAGATGGGGAAAAGAGAATCATTGCGCATTGCTGGCGGGAATGTAATTTGGTACAGCCATTATGGGAAACAGTATAGTGGTTCCTCAAAAAATTAAAAATAGAACTGCCATATCATCCAGCAATCCCACTTCTGGGTATTTATCCAAAAGGATTGGAATCAGGATCTCAAAGAGATATCTGCACTCCCTTACTCATTGCAGAATTATTCACAACAGTGATGATACGGAAACAACCTAAATGTCCCTTGACAGATGAATGGTTAAAGAATGTGGTATATACATACAATGGAATATTATTCAGCCTTTCAAAAGGACATCCTGCCATTTGCAACAACATGGATGAACCTGGAGGGCATTCTGTTAAGTGAAATGAACCAAATACAGAAAGACAAATACTGCATGATCTCTTACACATATGAGGTGATTAAAATGTTAATTAGCTTTATTGTTATGATCATTTCACAACATACAAATACATCAAAAGATCAAATTATACACAGTAAATATATACAATTTTATTTGTCAGTTACATCTCAATAGAGCTGTTTTAAAAACTGGCTGGCTACTTGGGATTGCCTATCTCTAAAATTACCTTAAAATGCAATTGGTAAATATACTAGTGGATAGAGGCTCATTATTAAGGTAATATTTTTAAGTGGAATATCATTTGTTAAGGTCAAATAAAAGGTGAAATTTGAGGATCAACTTTTGGTTTTATATTTACCAGTTCACTGAGTTAGCAGGCGAAAACGGAGGCAAGAAGTAGGGACAGAAAGGCATGACCAGTGGCCAGAGGTGGGGAAGGAATGGGATGCAATAGAGTGAGCAAGCACCAAAGAAGGAAAATGTCACTGAAAATTAGCTATTAGCTGAGGAGGTAATGAATACACTTGAGACCCGTAAAAGGCACAAAGATCAACCTAAAATATTGACGCTAGAAGGAGCCTCCGAGAGGAGAAGGGAAAGGGCTGTTGCTATTGTGGAGACTGGAAGTTTGACTATGAGAAACAAAATTGAGTGGTGACGCTGCTGCAAGAAGCCTTCTAGGTGCTTCCATCATCCCTGATGGATTGTTTTTAGAGGAGTATATATGCTTAAGAACTTCGGGTGGTAACTAATGGAAACACATACTAGTGATCACCACGCACTCCTTCAAGTGGGCTGAGGAAGAGGAGAGCGGGAATGAGGGTGAGCACAGTGAATCATGATTATCAACACGTCGAGTGCCCTAGGAGACGGTGTGGAGACGAAGGGGGCAGGGGGAAAGCATGCAGAAGGGTGAGTGGCTCTTCCATCAGCCACAGAGGAAGGGCCACAGCTGATACAGGGGCAAAGCTTGTCTTAAACTGGAGGGAACCACACACATAATAGCAAGAGTCTCCCAGGGAATGTGCAAGATGAGGGAAATTGCTAGCACGTAGTAACCCAGGTTTGGACAAAATAAAGAGCTCCCCCACCCCCGCCGCCCCGCCCTGGCTTCAGGGACTGTGGGGCTACTAGTAGAAAGTGCCTCCCTTTGGGGAAGTCTAGTCTCTGCTCCTTTTGCAGGGGCCTCCCTCTCACAGAAGGGTGAGCCTCCAAAGGAGGGGCCCTGGCACCTCCACAGGTAACAGGACCAACAAATCTTGTCCACACCCCAAGCTGGGCACCTACTCTAGATCAGAACAAAGGTGCTGAGCTCAGGACTTGATTCTCGCAGCCAGAGGGAGAAAAACCCCAACACGTTCACTTAAACAGTAAGATATTACACTTTTATCCAGAATGGAATATGCATTCATGTATATTTTCATCTCTGGAACAGGTGGTTTGAAATGCAAATAAAGTAATAAGTGTCAGAGCCGTATCCTAGCAGTAGCTACTTTGCAAACGTTACCATGGCACCAATTCAACAGCGTTCTTAGAGGCAGCCACACCTCAGTAAAGTCTTTCTAACTCAGGACGGCCAAGTTCAAAGGAACTGACAGACGCAAACTGCGAAAGAGTCCTGAACCGATACAGGAGGTGAATTTTACAACACAATTGCCCGCTGAATCTACTTGAAACAGGGTATGGGACTTAAACGGGGAAAAAAAGGGAATGGACCAACTCCTAGGACACCTGGAACGTGATCCAAGCCTGGAGACAAAATGATGGTAATTATAACTGCTAACATTTGTTTTTAGTTGCTAACAGATTGCGCACAGATTGGGAAAGGCAAACTCCATTTTCCAATTACTCCAGTGCAAACCGTGCTTTACCAGTACTCACTAATCCTAGTTGAGTGAAAAGAAAGCAGATTGTCCTCATGTATGGATCATTTGTGTTAAACTAAGGAAGGCTGTCCTCTCACAGCCGTAGCCCAGGGGGCCACTCACAGGGAGTAGATGCCAGGAGCTGGGTTCTGCAGCTCTCTACTTCCTACTGCCAGTAGATCTGCTTGACTGAGGGCAACATGCATTTCCCAAGCACAGACAAAGCAGAAGGAAAAGGACTAGGTGGTAGTGACACAGGACGGTGGGGAAACAAGTCTTAGCCAACCCGGCCTGTGAACCAATCAAGGTTCCTGAGGTAGTCCCTGGGCTAAACAGGACATGTCTCACCCTGATTAGGAGAGAACGGAAGGTCAGATACCAAAAGTTAACAAAACAAGGCAGTCTGTCGTAAATGGCAAATTGATGATATAAACTACAAATTCTGTAAGGGTTCAAAGGAGGCAGAAATTCTTTCCTGCTTCCCCTTCAGATGAGGGTGATTAAAATCTGAAAAAGTGAAGACCTGCCAATACGGAACCGCCGTTGGTTGACCCTAAAAAGCCATCAACAAGAAGGAAACTCCAGAACTCCCATCATTACATATAAAAGCCACTAGTCCTCAAGATCTCCTTTAAGACAGTAATGATGCATCATTCATGGCCAAAATAGCTATAGGAGAGGGAGGCAAAGGAAGGCGTGCTTAGAAAAGCAATCAGGGCTTTCCATACTGCCTTTATCTTGAAAACATGAAGACTTCTCCTTCCCGGAAGGATAATTCTGGGACTATTACATACAGTTATCTCTGCACACCCCACTCCAAAAAAAAAGTAAAGGCAGAAAAGGGCCTCTTGGTACTGCTTCCATAACATTCTAACCAAATCAATCTGTAAATTTCCTGTGGGTGAGTTGACATTGTAATTTAAGTTGTAACCTGGATATCAGGTATGCCGCCCAGTGGCAGACCACATTCAGGGCACAATATTCAAAAGAAAGTGAGACTTTGGTCTTGGTTTCAGCAAGTTTTGATATTCAGAGAGATCCAGTTTCAGGAGTAAGGCTGAGAGAGGAGCAGATCCAAGGAGAAAACAACACTCAGGATCAAGCAGGAGATGCTGTCGGGTTCTAGGTGATCAGCCCACTGCCAAGGGTTAGGAAGGAAAAGAGTCCAGGATCCCATGGAAAATCTATGCAAGGTGTAAGAAGCCTCAGGGAAGGAAAATACAGCACTAAGGAGCCAACTGCGGTAAACACCCAATTCTATGGACTAAGTTGACATGTCAGAGATTACATGAAATCTGGAATTTGATGGGTATGCGGTGTCCAGAGTTACTGAAGAGATATCAGCCATTAGGATGATGGTGACATGGGTAAAGTTATATGCCATCAACAGCTGGACTGAAGCTCCTAAAATATTTAATTCCCAGGACAGGATTAGCAAAGGAACGCTGCAGGTTTCAGCCTGGAGATCAGGCTGTATCAAATACAAATACTGAGGTGATCTGGGTTGAGGAAGACAGAAGTTGATCAAAGAGCTTCCATATGAGAGGCTGTAATAAATACTTCTGAAGCGATAAATTAGATTTCGAAAACTGAGAAATTAATTTTGTTGCAATGGTCAGTTTACCCCTTTAAAATTTTCTGCTTTATTCATTTTGCTGCCTGGACAAAGAGTTCAATGTACAAACAATACACACTAGAAGAAAATAACGGGGAATACTTAAACTCTTTGATGGGAAGTCTTTTCTAAATACAGTAGTAAAAAATAAATCATAATGGTAATTAGACCACATAAAATGTAAAATTTGGCTCACTTAAAAATACCATCAGCATAATTGGGCTTCCCTGGTGGCGCAGTGGTTGAGAGTCCGCCTGCCGATGCAGGGGACACGGGTTCGTGCCCCGGTCCGGGAAGATCCCACATGCCGCGGAGCGGCTGGGCCCGTGAGCCATGGCCGCTGAGCCTGCGCGTCCGGAGCCTGTGCTCCACAACGGGAGAGGCCACAACAGTGAGAGGCCCACGTACCGCAAAAAGCAAACAAAAAAAATACCATCAGCATAATTACAAGGCTCTATAAACCAGGTAAGATATTTGCAACAAATATGACAGCTAATGTTCTTGATACATAAGGAGTTATTGCAAATCAATCAGAAAAACCTCAAACAAACAAACAAAATGGTAAGGGATCATATATCTTTCACAGAAGAATAAATACTACAGACCAATAAGCATGTAAAAAGGTATACTTTGTACCTTTTCACCAGGAATTGAAAAGGTACAAAGTATAACCATAAAGAGATACTGAAGCTCACTTCTCAAATTGACAAAGGGCATAATAAACAACACTGGGAGACAGTGACAAAATTGGTACATCATCCTAGGAAGCAATCTGACACAGCTTGGTCTAATAATACAACTTTTAGTACTCTACATTAAAGAACTGGAGACAGGAACGATTTATTTATAGAAATGTTCATCAAAGTATTATTTATAATAATGATAAGAGGAAAGAACCTGTTATAGTTTTGTGATAAAATAGCCATGAACATTGTGTTTTTTGAAGAAAACCCTCATGACAATACAAAGTGAAAAAACAAAGTATAAAACATGGTTTAATTATGTTGTGCATTGCAAACATACACAGCAAAAAGACGGGGGGGAATAGACCTGTTAACAGTGATGGGAATGTAAACTGATACAAAGTGGTATGAGGGTTTTTTTTATGTACCAGCATTTTTAAAAATATTCTACAAAAGAAACACGTAATACTTGTAAAATAAAAAGTTACTTTAAAATGTTTCTAAAACTATATTATAATGCCCCTGGCTGCTGCTTAGGAACAATGATACTGAAGGGATATTTTTGTAAAGGAAAAATCATTACTTAAAATCTTAACTTTGGGGGCTTAATGTCCAAGAAGCTATTTATTTGGAATATCCTGAAGAATCATCTTTGCTTTCCAGAATAGTAAAGTTTCCAAAATGCTCTAATAAGACCCACCCACTGGAAATAAAACTCTCAAATGTCAATGAATGAGGGTCCACAACCCAAAGAATACTCAAGTGGCACTTCTCCAAGAAGTCTTTACCATTAAGCAAAATAGACCCTAAGATTCTATTCCCCAAAAGAAAACCACCTCCAACTTATTGCCTGTGATTTGAAGAAATAGCTGATTTTAAATGCAAGCACACTCAAAACCTCCGCACAATATATTAGATACTTTCATATTCAGAAAAGAATCAAAGGAAGAATATTATGAACAAAATGCAAAACCCCTGTTTATTTCTCTGTACTGTCATAAACCGGAATCATGATAACCTGGGGGATTTATACTGTTACTACTGAGAGCTAATATGTATCGAGTCCTTAATATGTGTCAGGCACATAATAAAGCATTTTATATTTATTCCATCATTCAATCCTCGACATAATCTTGTGAGATAGGTTCTATTCTTATCCTCATTTTACAGAGAAGGAAGCTGTGGCTCCCAGACATTCTATAACTTGCCAAAAGTCACAAAGCTGGTAAGCAGCAGAGCCTAGATTTGAAACAAGACAGTCTGTTTCTAGAACTTGCACTGTTAACCCATTTGCTCTACTGCCTCAGAATCTATGGAATAGGTAAAAGCGTATTGTGCCTTTCTTTTTTGTCTCCTACCCAGGATCTGTCTAATCCTCAGGATTAGAATCCAGAACTTTCTAATCTATGGCTATAAATCACTATCTTTTAGAATCAAAGATGCTACCATAGGGCTTCCCTGGTGGTGCAGTGGTTGAGAGTCCGCCTGCCGATGCAGGGGACACGGGTTCGTGCCCCGGTCCAGGAAGATCCTACATGCCGCGGAGCGGCTGGGCCCGTGAGCCATGGCCGCTGGGCCTGCGCATCTGGAGCCTGTGCTCCGCAACGGGAGAGGCCACAACAGTGAGAGGCCCAAGTACCGCAAAAAAAAAAAAAAAAAAAAAAAGATGCTACCATAGTTGCTAGGCTAATTCCTTTAAAGAAAAGTATGGCTCAATAGATTCATGCATTGTCTTTCATTCTCCCTGCATTGGTTTTATATATAATTTCTCTTCCTTGTTTAGGGTTGCGGCTAGAAGACAATAAAACGAGTAATGGAGCCCTTATATGAGGAATACCTAGCCAATCGTGGAACAATAGTAAAACCTTATTACTGGCTGAGATTCTCTCTCGATTGCTCTAATTGTCCTTACCATATTCGGACAGGTGAAGAAGCAAGAGTTCCCCACACAGAATTTTGTCAGATTTTTGGATTCCCTTATGGACCAACATATCCTCAAACAAAACACCTCACATTCTATGAACTAAAAACTTCTTCTGGAAGCCTGGTGCAAAAGGGCCATGCTAGCAGTTGCACTGGGAATGATACCCATCCGGAATCAATGTTATTTGAGATGAATGGTTACTTTGACTCCGCCATACACAATAACGACGGCATCAGGCATATCATTCTGTATTCCAGCAACTCCCCTTGCAATGAAGCTAACCATTGCTGCATCAGCAAAATGTACAATTTCCTGGTAATGTATCCAGACGTCACTCTTAGTATTTACTTTTCTCAGCTCTATCATACTGAGGCTGAATTTCCTGCCTCGGCGTGGAACCGTGAAGCTCTCCGGAGCCTGGCCAGTTTATGGCCGCAGGTCACTTTGAGCCCAATAAGTGGTGGGATTTGGCATTCTCTCCTCAACAACTTTGTGAGTGGTATGTCTGGAGCGACTATTTTCCAGCCCATTTTAACTGGGAGAGCACTGGCAGACAGGCACAATGCATATGAAATCAATGCCATAACAGGGGTGAAACCCTATTTCACCAATATTCTTCCCCAGGCAAAAGAGAATCAGAACATAAGAGCTCAGGCAGCTTTAGAGGGCTACCACTTAAACAATGTCTTTCCCAGACAGTCTTTTCAAGTGACAAGTGGACAACTGCAACCCAATCTGACCCTAGACCCCAGGGTTCCTGTCATTTTTGTACTGGTGCCTTTCAGAAACCTACCACCAATCCATGTAGGACAAAACCTACATAAACCCAGGAATATCGTAAAGCACTTAAATATGCCTCAAATATCATTCCAGGAAAACAATGATCTCAGAATGCCTCCCGTTGTAATGCCAGTGGAGAGAGTAGAAATCACCGAACAGTTTGCTAGTAGCAAAGAGGCAGATAAAAAGAAGAAGAAGAAAGGGAAAAATTAAAATTGGCATTCCTACAACAAGAGACCAAACTACTACCAGAGGACTTGATTAGATAGGCAACAGAAATCTGGGAACTTTCTCTCTTAGGTCTGATTCAAGATGGAGATAAACTGATACACTAAAAGCAAAACCTGAATTATTTATTATCTCAACTATTATAAAGCAACACTGTTTTTAACATAATCCACAATGTTTCCGTAAGCAACTTGATCTCTCTCCTGTATTTTAAAAGTGACGGTATCAAAATGGAGCCATTAGTAACTTGCTAATATTCTGATGTGCATAAGAAAATGTCATTACTCTACACTACCCACATCACCTTTCGACCAAAGAAGCCCATGGACTAAATAGCTTCCTAAATTGGTTTTGGTATAAAAATTTACTGCAAAATTGGAAAACAGCCTGAGTTACTGACATTAAGTGCTGCCTGCAAAGGCAAATCAGTGATTTTCCATTAATTGTTAACCGTGGACAGATTTTAGGCAGCTCTTTTTTTTTTTTTCTAAAATGGTTCAAAATAGTTTGTGTGGAGAAAAGCTCTTTTTGCTAATTGATTAGATATAGCTGCCAAAATTGATTTTTGAAACCAGCCACCTGCTCAGTTTGATCTTTCCCTCTTGAGCAGATAATAGAGGCAGGATAATACATGTAAGTCTCCAAAACGCCTTCCATCACACACCACATAAAAATCCAAGCCACTTTTACTGGCCTTTAAGGTTCCTCCTCTACCTTCCTGTTGCTCTGTCTTATCAGCAGGAGTGTAGGTTCCTGTAGATAAGGCACTGTCTCTCTCTCCTCTTTGGTTTTCCCTTAGGGTCTGGCACAGTAGCCAGGCAAAACGTGGGTAGCAAGACTGTGAATCTACATCTCAATAACTTTACCAATCGCCACTCCCCAACATTCCTCTTCCATTCCAGCCAAGTGCCTGCTTAATCATACTGCGATGAACATCTTTTTTTGTTAGGATCCATTCCCCCCTTTTCTGATATAGCTTCCCAATGCATAATTTGTTTTACTTCCTTTTATTCTGACACCTTTCTTTTTTACCAGTGCACATCTATACCGTCTCTTAACATCTTGTTCAAAACACACTTCTAAGAAGTGCTCCTTGACTAACCTTTGAGCGTGTACATTAAAGCACCTTGTTTACGTTTAACTGTTTGCTGCCTCACTCCCCTCTTAGAAATATGTAAAAATGCATTACAAGAAAAATGTGTATTCATCTGTAACTTGCTACTAAATATTTTCTTAATATGTGTAAAAATGAATGCTAAGCTAATAAGATAGTTTTGCCATTAGAAGAAAAAACTTAAAGCGCATAATACTCCATGCAGAAGGAGCAGGAGGCGGAGGAGGGAGAGGAAGAAGTGGGGGCAGGGGAGAAAAGAAAAATGTTGCGCTTCCCTGGTGGTGCAGTGGTTGAGAGTCCGCATGCTGATGCAGGGGATACAGGTTTGTGCCCCGGTCTGGGAAGATCCCACATGCCGCGGAGCGGCTGGGCCCGTGAGCCATGGCTGCTGGGCCTGCGCATCTGGAGCCTGTGCTCCGCAACGGGAGAGGCCACAACAGTGAGAGGCCCGCGTACCGCCAAAAAAAAAAAAAAAGTTTACAATAGAAATTTCTATTGTGATTAAAATAAACACGAATAAAATTTTAAAAGGAATTTCTATTGTTAACCTGAAATTTTTTATAGATTTATTAGAATATAATTATATTGTGGGTATACAGTAATTATTATTTAAAGAGGTACTGTTGAAGTTTATTATTGGATCATGAAATCATGTGTCTACAACTTGGGATGTAGAGTTTTTTTTAAAAAAAGACCCTAAGATGACAAAATCAGGATCTCTGATCATCGTAAAAGTAGACAGATCCAGGTGGGTGACTCAGCTAATAGCGTCAGCAAGTCGGAGGGGCCTGGGGAGCCAGCTCTGAAACTTCTTGCCTTGTGGGCTCCTCAAAAAAAAAAAAAAAAAAAAAAAAGTACATCCAATTAGATAATATGAGATGTGTCTCCAAAGTGGTCAAAAAGACCACAGTATCATTCAAGATACAAAGGATCCAGATAGAAATATAGTGTGAAATCTATGACGAATTTGTATTTCAAATATACTTCATATGTAAGCCTGGATATCAGCGGGTGTATAACAAAGGGAGAAATGTTGCCAAAACAATAGGAAAGAAAAGTGCTTTTGACAGTTAAATTTTTGTACTGGTTAGATAAGACTGGGGCTAGGAAGAAGAATGTTACTGATAGATCATGAGTCCAGGCCAATAAAGTCAAGCTTTAGACAAGAGACTGTTAAAAGAGCATAAAGATATACGACCCTAGGCAAGTAGTCTCTATTTCCTCATCTGTAAAACAAGAGATATGAGCTAGATCATCTTTAAGGTTCCCTTGAGCTCTTTTGCTCTAAGATGACACATATCAAAGCAATAGTTCCATGGAGTGAGCTCTTACGTCGCAAGGATCAGGTCTTTCTGCTCACCATGCAACGGATTCTTGTTTGTGTCAAGCTGGCCCAGGGATTTAGGGAAGAGTAGAAATTGGAATGCTCCACCTTTCCTCAGCAAACTGGCAATGGTGATAGCAAAGAATTATAACTGCCACCACATATATGGTAATTCCAATAAGGAAAATACAAGCCAATAAATTAAAGGAGCTAGTGGTGTGCTGATATAAAAAAGGCAGGGGAGTAGGTCCCAAGAAACTGATGAGAGTCTGGGGGAGGGGAACATTTCCTTGGTGAATCAAACACGGTGCAGGGTTTGGGTCTCACCGTTGAAGGCTCCACCACATACTTAGTCATTATAGAGAAAATGGATTTATAAATCACAGGCAGACCAGATTAACAAAACTCCCAAGATTTACATATAAAAGCAGAGAGCTAATTGATTTCCAGTGAGACTTACAACTGGATATGAAACCAGATGTTCAAGTTGTCCAGCCTATACAGTCTCTCCATGTAGATAAGCTACATGAAAAGCCAAACTATAATAAGAGGGCTGCTCTGTGGATTAGAGGAGTTCATAATGTGATTCTAATGTTTAGTGCTGTCAGACTCTGTTTACCAGGGACAGACATCTGCCACTTGGAATGAAATGATGAGATACGCACAAGGGCACCTGCCCCCTGGACAGTGTTTAGGTGGGCCAAGGTTGTGAGAAAAAACATAAACCTCTATAACCATTTCCTATCATGACTAGTATTGATTTTCTATAGATGTTAATATTTCATCAAGCTACAATCTAATCCTGGTAGCCTGGGAGCAAATCTTATCTCTTTAAAATGATATTAGATATCTTTTCTTGATTCATAGTGCATGCAATCCAAAAAGTTTAACTCCCACAATGGAATGTTATTTATCTTGTTTCCAAGGGTTTTAAGGAAAGCCAAATGGTAACCTATACTAATTAAAAATAATATTATTACTACTTAACATTTAGTGAGAGCTATAGGTCAGGCATTTTTCTAAGTACTTAAATTATTAACTCATTTAATCCTCCCAATAATTCTATGAAGTAGTTATTATTATAGTACCTATTTTACAAATAAGGAAAGCTTAAGTAATTGCTCAAATAGTAAAGGTGATCTGAGAGTCAAATCTAGGAGGTCTAGCTCCAGAACCCATGCTCTTAATCACAATGCTTTAATGCCTCTCAAGATAATAATAATGTGGACTCACTATAAAGGCTGGAAAAATCAATATCTATTTAGTACCAGTCCTGTGGCTTTTCTGTGATCCTGCTCAAACTAGTGTACCAATGGGCATCCTCTAGACTCTGGCAGCTAGGTAGGCTGAGTGGGCTGGGGTGGAGAACTTAAGTAGGTTCTAGACCCCAGAGTTTTGGTACTTTCCCCATCCCCATTCCTTGTTACCCAGGACCTCAAAACAAACATAAGTCCTGAGATTGCCTTACCTTGGATGTCCTTGACTCTCAGGGATATACCAAATCAGAGGCCTTAGGCTTGGGAACATTGCTTTATTACCCTATTTAAATAATTAAGTAGAACTGGTTCCTTAAAAAACAAAAACAAAAAAATGATCCAGCAATTCCACTTCTGGGTATAAACCCAAAAGAATTGAAAATTGGGTCTCAGAAAAATATATGTACACACATATTCAAAGCAGCAATATTCACATTAGTCAAAAGGTGGAAGTAACCCAACTGTCCACTGGTGGATGAATGGGTAAAGTGTGGCATATTCATACAATGTAATATTATTCAGCCTTAAAAAGGAAGGAAATTCTGACACATGCTACAACGTAGATGAATCTTGAGGACATCAAGCCAAGTGAAATAAGCCAGTCACAAAAAGACAAATGCTGTATTATTCCACTCACATAGGGTACCTAGAGTCATCAAATTTATCATCTCAGAAAGTAAAATGGTGGTTGCCAGGGGCTGGGGCGAGGGTGGAATGAAGAATTATTGTTTAATGGATATAGAGTCTCAGTATTGCAAGACAAAAAGAGGTCTGGAGATGGATGGTGGTGATGGTTGTACAACAATGGGATGTACTTAATACTACTTAACTGTATACTTTAAAATGGTTAAGATAGTAAATTGTATGTTATGTGTATTTTGCCACAATTTTAAAAAAATTAAGTGGAATTACTAACTGACACCTACTGATCTCTCCATACACACACACACACACACACACACACAAAGGTCATCTTTTGTGGCGGACTAAACATTAGGTAACAAGCTCTATGTCTAGTCTCAAAATACTGAGATAAGGTGTGGAAGGCTCACAGGAATATCTGAAAACCAAATATATTTTTTAAAAATCATTATAAGTTTTTTAAAGCTCACAATTTATAGTTTATTTCAAGCTATTGTGTGCGTTTATTTAGACTCTCAGTACTTAGCTATACCCTTATTTTTAGCAAAAGGTAAGTAGTAGAATTGGGAATTAAGAGACTTACTGAAAGTAGACATAATTCCCATACGAATCTGCCACTTGCTAGTTGAGCATCATTGGCTGAGTTTCACAACCTCCCTGAGCCTTAGTTTCCTCATCCATAATATGGGAACACTAATTCCTAGGCCCTAGATTAAATAAAATAAGTAAAGAGCTTATTTACCAAGTGTCTAGAACACAGTAAACACTCATTAAGTGGTTGTTATTATTCATAAAATATTAACAGAATAAGGATAGACAGTAGAAAGGGATAGAAAATGTAGGATCTTTCAAATTTTATCAACCCTATAAGTCTGAGATAGCTACTTTCTATAGGAAGTAAAGATATGTTACTAGAACTCGTGATAATCAGGTTGGGGGGAAGAAGAAAAATATGTTGATTTTAATATTTTGCTTAGTTAATAGTAGCAATGAGAAAAGCAATATGTCTGTGATCATGGAAGATATTAAAATAATTGTACGAAATATTTTGTGGAACTTCTTGCCAATAAATTGGCAATCTAGATGAAATGCATGATTTACTAAGAAAAACATAAATTCTAAAATTGACTCAAAAGGAGAAAAAAACCCAAACAAGTCAATAACCACAGAATATAAAGATGATCAAAGATCTACCTCTAAAAATCTGAGCAAGCCCAGATAATTTTGTAAGCACATTCTACAACTTTCAAAGAAAAAACAGCATGGTAATTTTCTATTATTCAAACTATTCCAGAGCATAGAAAAAATGATGAAATCTTCCCAATTCATCTTACAAAGTTAGACTAATCCTAATATCAAAACTGGATAAAGATAGCACAAAGAAATGAAACTGTGGACCAATCT